CTCACTTAGCAACAGAAATGTCGGCTTGTTTGTGGTCGTAAGGTGAGCTCTATCTGTATAAACATGTTTCCTTGGTAATAAAAGCTTTCTTGGGAAGGTAGCAATGAATAAATATATAGGCCAATTACTACATTAAAATGATTGCAGATGGAGAGGAGAAGCTGCCTGACTTCTCCTGGGCCATCTCCTACAATCTGGAAAAATCAACATAGCAAATTTCTCAGCCTGAAGATGAGAGGTATTATTACTTTTTAAGGTGTCACCTTTAGTTCAGAGAGATCCAACCTTGGCAACTTTAAGACTTGTGGACTTCAACTCCCTGGGAGCTGAAGTCTTAAAGTCACCTAGGTTGGCTACCCTTGTTTTTCATTATTATTATTATTATTATTATTATTATTATTATTATTATTATTATTATTATTACTATTATATCTTTCATGAGATTCACAGCCTTTGGGGCTGGTTGGTAGCTCAACAGTTCGAGTCCAACCAAGGAGCTAGAAACGGTTCAGGTAGTGTCAGGGGATATAAGCTGCTTCACGTAGGGTGGATTTTTGTAGAATATGGGTATTCAAGTCTGATAAATTCAGGATTTCCAAATAGTGAGGCAGCCCTTTAGGTATTGCTCCAAGGGCTCCAATTACAATTAGTATAACACACGATTTCTTTTTCCAAAATCGCTCAACTTCAATTTGTAAGTCCTGATACGTTGTGATTTTTTTCTTGCTGCGTGTCTACAATTCGTGCATCACCAGGTATTGCAATGTCAGTGAACCAAACCCTTTTCTTCTCAACTGTTGTTATGTCAGGTGTGTTGTGGGTCAAATGCCTGTCCGCCTGAATTCTGAAGTCCCACAAGATCTCGACTTTTTCATTCTCCAGAATCTTCTCAACCTGATGTTCCCAGTAGTTGTTACTATACTCAAATCCAAACTTTTGGCATAGTGTCCAGTGAATTATTTTAGCAGCTCGGTTGTTGTTGTTGTTGTTATTATAGATTGCATTAAATAGATGCAATCTACCTAAGTAAATATAATCTTCAACCAACTTCTCTTTCGAAGCCTCAAGTGTGGAGGCTCCCTCCCTTGGCTGCTACATCCAAGGAAATGTATTAATTTGCTTGGCAAATGAAGGAACAAATGAGTCAGAGTAAGACAGGCTTACATCCAAGAAAACGAATAATAATCCCTTCCTTCGCTTCTAATACATTCTTATCTAACATGTGCCTGGGAAGCCCGCAACCCTATCTCACTTGAGAGAGGTACCAGCATGTCATGATTCCCCGTGGAACATTTCTTGTCAACAGTGAAACTTTAGTCAGAATTCGGTGTAGGAGGGTAGGGTGACTGAGCTGCGTTTGTGGAAATTCTCAAGGAGACACTAAGCTTTGAGGTTTTGGGGTTGTTGTTTTTTTAAAATGCTTGTGGTTTAATACGAACTTACTGATTAGAGGTCACACAATATAAGCAATGCCTTGCCAAATATGGTATTCTGTTCCCCCTATTGATGAGGTTAAAAAGGGGGGGGAAACCTTTGGGAGAAATTATGCAAAGCAGGGCGATGAAAATAGCAGAATAGCATCTTTCTTCAAATGAAAAGGCTGAGCATCTGGATTTAGGAAGTAGATAAACTTCTCTATCAGGCTGGGGTCGTAACCTTTGACTTCAGGTAGTCCTTGACTTGTAACCATTTGTTTAGAGACTGTTCAATGTCTTAGGACTGATTTTCACACTTACGGCCATTGAAACATCCCCATAATCATGTGATCAAAATTCAGATACTTGGCAACAGACTCATTTTTATGACGGTTGCAGTGTCCCGTAAATACGTGATCCCCCTTTTGCAAACTTCTGGCAAGCAAAGTCAACAGGGAAGTGTTAGAAGTTAAAACCTACCCTTCTCCTAGGAAAATGAAATATGTTAGGATACACTAAAAAGGCAGAATATTTCCCCTAAAAAATAGAAACTCAAAGAGGCAGAAACTCTCTCTCTCACACACACACAGAAACACACCTACCTTTGCTAATGGACCATTACTCTAGTCTAGGCCAGTCTATTTTACATAGCAAAGATCTACTCCAGGTACAACTATAATAGAAATTGCCCAAAGCCCTTTCATTACATCATCATCCAGCAAGGCTCAACCAAGCCTGGGATTCAGGACAGCCTACAGGGTTACCCCTGCACAGCCCCATGGGAGTCTGACAACCAATCATGATAAATTTCTTGCCATAGGAACAGGAAACAAGTTCAAAGCCCAACAGAGGGTATAAATCTTTCTCCCTCTCTCACCCATGTGCTGTTTTTCGCCCAGGACCTCGATGTGGTCCTGCCCACCATTAAACCATCTTTCCAAGCAGTCTCCATGTTTCCAGTGTCCTTCTTCCCACTTGGAACTGAACCCAGATGGACATTTCTTCCAACAAATACTTCTAGTGTTTGTGTGTGTGTGCGCGTGCATGTTGCCTCAAATGATTCATATTCAAACGTGACATACATTCAGACCCCAAAGGTTGTGCCAGAGCGAATTCTGAGTAAAATATGCTTTCATTCTGCATGTATTTTTCTTACCGTATCTGTGCAGGGGAGGGATGCAGTCTGGGTTTTAGCCGTGACTTCTTCATCGCTTTCATCCACTCAGTCAGTTTTCCCAGTCTGCTTCTCCACAGTGTGTGGCAATTTCAAGAGAGGCTGGCACCTGGAAGGAAGTGGTAGATTTTTATGCAGTCTGTCTTGGGATGGGAATAAGTAGCTGGAGCCATTGATTTTATTCACCTGTAACGTGCCATTTTATTTGGGCAAACCCCAAGAGACTGTGGAGGACGGGGAGTCCTGGTGTGCTATGGTCCATGGGGTTGCAAAGAGTCGGACATGACTCTTAGTGACTGAACAAATATGCCATTTGTTGAAAGGGTTAGTATGTTGTGTGATCTGCTGGGGTTTGTTAACCAGATTTAAGTGTGTGAATCCAGTTAACTGGCTAGAACATACAGCATAGAATCATAGGACTGGAAGGGACCCTGGAGATCTTCTAGTCCAACCCCGTGCTCAAGGCAGAAGACCTTATACCATCCCAGTCAAGTGATTGTCCAGTCTATTTTTTAACACCTCCAGTAACGGAGCACCTACAACCACAGGAGACAAGCAATTCCATTGATTGTTTGCTCTTACTGTCAGAAAATTTCTCCTTATTTCTAGAGGTTGTATCTCTTCCACCCATTACTTCTTGTCCTGCCATCGGATGCCCTAGAGATGCCCTCAGTCTGCTCTTTTTGCGACCGCCCCTCAAGTACTAAACAAACCATGGTTTAGCGTAATGTGTAAATGCAATTTGTTGCAGGCTTAGCAGAGGCTTGAGCATAAGAAGCCCTTTGGAGCAAAAGTCTAGGATGCCACTGTGAAGAATGTAAGTATACCAGGTACCAGGAAGGCTTATTCTATATCTATAGTCATCAGGTATACCCGTAGGCTGGGTATTAACAAGAGTTGAAATCAACTCATCTGAAGGGAATTAGAAACATATTGCTATTGTCAATGGACAAAAAAGTAAACAAAAACTTCAGGGTTTTGATACATTTGGCACTAAGCTGCAGCACACACAAATGTAAACGGAATTTTAAACATAGTACTGAAATGTTGCCTTCAAATATGTTTATTACTGCAGTAACGATTCTTCAAATCTTTGAGTCCACAATTTATAGTGAAAATGGACTAGAGGAAATAAGCAGGATCTGTTTGGTATAGGGATTGTGTCTGGTACATGGACATGCAAATAAGAGGGAGGAATTATTAAATGTGCTTTGAAGTTACCTTCAGGTATTTTATCATTGCAATAATGTTTCGAGGCTTTCAATGAAATCCTGAGTTTATAATCAAAAGGGAAGTGTAATTTTGAATCAAGAGAACCTCTTTCAAATCAAGCTTGACTTCTGGTGCACAACTTATTGGAAGTGTTGGAATATTTTGCTTTTAATAAATCGACACACCACTTACAAGAAAATTGAATTTGTGCCATGATCTTCAAGTGTGCTTAAATCACCTTCTCCACAGAGGATGTCCAGTAAGGGTTGGGTTGAAATTTCTTAAAAGTTGGAAATGCAATATTTGGAAGGCGATCTATGTTGTGGGCTAGTTGCACTGTTTTGTTAATCAGTGTTTGGATTCGAGGTCAGATTTCAGCTTGTGAAGGTAGGGTTAAATTACACCCTGAAAATGTAGATTTCACCAAGAACTCTGGGCTTATTCTGCAACTCAAAAGCGTGTCCTCTTCCAACAGAAAAACTCTTGTTTCACCTTATTTAAAATCCCCAACAGAGGACCTGGGTAAGCTCATACGCAGACTGGCTCTCTGTGCACGTAATGGAAATTCCAATTAATATTTCTCCGTGGATTCAATATTCATTCTGTGTTGTAAGAACAGAGTTTTCAGTTTCATAGCGTGCGCGGCTTTATTATTTTGCTGGCTCGTTTCTGTTTTCCTTTTTTTCCACATTGGCTTCACCTTCTTCTCTTCCGGTCTTATTTTTGTTGTTATTATTAAAGCTGCTAAAAATTGAGAGTAAGGAAGGGAAAAAAGCCACTGGCTCTTCACTTCAAAGCCAGGTTTTCCCCAATAACAGTATGGAGGTGCTTGGCGTTGTTTTGTTATTTGCCCCCTCATCTTTTTTTAATAGACTCCCCCCTTCAGAAGGCAGTTCTGGGATCTTCTGGTGGTCCCGTAACCCTCGGCTCCTCAGCTTGTCAGCCCAAACAAGACGCAACGCTGCAGACCAGGGCTCCCAGGCGTCAGAGCCCCAAAAGTCGGGCGGGTGTACCACTACAACCCGACCCAGGCGAGTGGAAAGCGAGGGTGGCGTAATTCCTAAGTCAGCCAGGAGGCCTTGGCCCTTCCCGGCCGTCACTTTACAGTGTAGGCCGCACCCCTTAGCGACCGTCCGAAGAGGCCTTAGCAACGAGGGCGGAGGCGGAGCTCCCGCGTGGAAGTCTCGCTCCACCTCGCGAGAGCAGGGCCGGCCAGGGCGCCAAGCGCGAAATTGCGGCTGCGTGGAATTTCCGGGGTGAGAGATAGAATGGAACGTTCGGCGGAGGCAGCGGCGACGACGGTGGCCGGAAGGAGCGCGAACTTACCTTGGTAAGCGGGGGGGGCGGGGAGGAAAAGAACGGGCGGGGGAGAGGATGCTCGGTTGCTAAGAGACGGAACTAGGACTAGGCAGAAACATAGGCGCGAGGGACCGCTCTTCCCCCCGGGGGGGGGTCCCTTTTAGAGGGCGGGGCTTAGCGTAGTGGTATGCCCAGGCGGGTATTCTGCAAAGAATGTGCTTCTGAGCATGTGCAGAGTGCTGCTCTACCTTCCTGGCTGGGGCTGGGGTTGTTTTATGTTGGGTGGGGGGGTTGCAAAAGCAGCCAGGGGATTTGCAATAAAGGGGCTGATTGAGGGCAAAGGAGCCCCCAGGGGGTGCATCATGCATCTGTCAGAAATGGTGTAGGGTCTCCTACTTGGGCGAGGGGTTGGACTAGATGACCTACAAGGTCCCTTCCAACTCTGTTAATTCTGTATCTATCTGTATCACATCCTTTTACCACCCACACTTTGCACAGAAAACGAAGAGAAGCCAGTAGCAAATGGGTGGGAAGTGGTGCTTGAGGACATGTCAAAACACTTTTTTTTTTTTTTACTTTTAGCAATGCATTTTTATTTTTGCAACCACCACGCTGCACAGGAGAGAGCTTCCTCCATCCTTAGCTCCAAACAGAAATAGCGATAGACTTATACTGCTTCACAGCCCCCTCTAAGCGGTTTTACAGAGTCAGCATATGGCCCCCAACAATCTGGGACCTTGGAAGGATGGAAGTCAACCATGAGTCAATGAGTCAACCATGAGACTGGTGGGATTAGAACTGTCAAATTGCAGGCAGCCGACAGTCAGCAGAAGTGGCCTGCAGTACAGAACTCTAACCACTGCGCCACTGAGACTCTAAATAAAAATTGTCCCCAGTTGTTGGGAAATACGGATTCTCTAGTTGTGAAAATCTGCATTTTATTTTTATTCGCAGGGTGGAGAAGTACCGGCCTCAGACCCTCGGGGATCTAATTTCTCATGAGGACATTCTGAATACCAGTAAGTATTCAATAGCTGTGCAAATATTGATATTTAGCGACGTGCAGTTCACTCTCAGTTTTGAGTGGCCAGTAAAGGAGGCTTCAGCTGCCCTCGTTTCCAACCTGTATGGACTATAGTAAGGGATTGTTAATTATTATAATTAAATTAGCTCTTAATTGCTTTTATAACTGCTTGCATTGCACTAGACACAAGGACAGTTTTTCCCTCCTTGCCATCACTCTGCTAAACAACTAGTTCCCACAATACTATCAAACTGTTTAGTAAGGCTGTATTACTATTCTTCTCATTTTTTCCTATTACCTATCTTCTTATTTTCTTATGACTATAACTGTATATTACAATTTATATTTTTTTATTTAGTATCCTTAGTATGATTTATGTTGATCACTTGTTTAGTATCGTATGACTATACCTAAATGTTGTATTTTATGATTGTATTTTATGAGGACTATGATCCTGACTTATTACTTGTTGCTTGTATGTACACTAAGAGCTTATGCACCGGAGACAAAATTTCTTGTGTGTCCAATCACACTTGGCCAATAAAGAATTTAATTCTAATTCTATTTGTTGTTATTGTTATTGCCCAATTCTGAAAATTAACTCCCTAAAAAGAAACTATTTTTACAGAATAGGGTCTCTTTGTTCTTTCAAAACATTGTTTTTTCCATGTTTTCCCAGTCCTGCCACATAACCTCTTAATAATATATATTTTTATTTATTTCCTAATTCTTTTACAGACCTGACTAGATAAATCATCCCCTATGTTTGATCAAATCCTTGCTGTTGTGCATCCCTAATAAAAAAACTCTATGCAATTACTTGTAGACCTTAATTTGCATAAATCTATAAAGGCAGATTGTAACTCCGCCCCCTCTTTGAGCTCCGTCTGCTTCCAGGCCAATCAATAAACCAATTTGTATAGCAGCGTAATTACATCCTGGTCTCCGGTTCAAATGTACCTCTGGGAAAATTCTCCTGCAAATTGGTAGAAGGCAAGAAATTCTGTATAGATCCTGGTAGTTGAGTGGCATGGTGGAAAAAAGAGAGATCAAAGAGATAAGCCCAGCTTTAAAAATAATCCCCTTAGTAGAGAAGGAAGCTGCTGTAGGCATCGGGGGGGAAACACAATATTATTATGATGGATTATCAGACAGTCCGCCAGATGTTTAAACTGGACTTGGCATTGTTGTCCATCTATCAAGTCCTTTCCAAGGACCCAGGATAGCTAGTTCTTCTTCTCCTCCTCCTCCTTTCTTCTTCTTTCCCCCCTTTCCCCTTTCCTTCCTCTTCTCCTTCTCTTTCTTCTTCTTTCTCCCTTTCCTTCATCTTATCATTATTTATTACATTTTTATGCTGCCTGATTACCGCCACCAAATGACATTTATACACTGATTTACAAAGCTGATACACATCACGGGCAGACTTCGTTTCGGCGAGATGGGTGGCCATACAAATTTGATGATTAAATGAATATTTTGTTTTCATCTCTTGTGCCCCTTGACTTGTGGGCCAGCGCGTGCTCTTAAAATGCAACCATCTATGAGGGCACCCTAGAATTGGAGAAGTACAAATAGATAAGCTAACAGGTAAAGCAGAAGTGATTTGTCAGCCAAGCGAAAGGTTTATTGCTTGTCACTTGGGGCAGCCATATGACGCCATCTCTGCTCTCTCTCTCTCTCTCTCTCAACCAGTACAGAAATTCATCAGCGAGGATCATTTGCCTCATCTCTTGCTCTATGGACCTCCGGGGACTGGCAAGACGTCTACAATTCTCGCCTGTGCTAAACAGCTTTACAAACAGAGAGAATTTGGCTCCATGGTTTTAGAGGTAACCACTTCTAGACCTGGATCGCTTTTCCAGGGGATGCAGGGGGGAAAATTCCTTCAAGCACAATGGTTTGTTTACGTTGCAGCATTCTGTTGGCAAGGTCCTGTTCTATGTGTTTATATTTAGGACTCCCCGGGTCCCATTTCAAATATTGGTTATAAAAGATGGAGATTAAAAAGCTCTAGGAAGAAGACTTGGAAAACACATCAGCAGAATTAGCCTGTAATAGTGCATTCTAACCAATTCTAACCACGGCTCTTAGACAGAGATAGAGATGATACGTAGGTAGGTAGGAAGGAAGATAAACAGGAAGGAAGATAGGTAGGAAGATAGGAAAATAGGAATAAGAAAGAAAGAAAGAAAGAAAGAAAGAAAGAAAGAAAGAAAGAAAGAAAGAAAGAAAGAAAGAAAGAAAGAGAAAAACAGGAAGACAGGAATAGATAGATAGGAAGATAGACAGGAAGATAGATAGGAAGATAGGAATAAGATAGAGAGAGAGAGAGATGATAGATGGATAGATAGGTGGGTGGGTGGATGGATGATAGACATGGAGATGGATAGCAATAGCCCTTAGACTTATATACTGCTTCACAGTGCTTTGCAGCCCTCTCTAAGCAGTTTACAGAATCAGCCTATTGCCCCCTCAGTCTGGGTCCTCATTTTACCTTGGAAGGATGGAAGGCTGAGTCAATTTTGAGCCGATGAGAATCAGACTGTTGGTAGTGAGCAGAATTAATCTGTTGTACTGCATTCTAATCATTGCACCACCACGGCTCTTAACGCACGTTCCTTCTTCGTTTAGCTAAATGCTTCTGATGACCGAGGCATTGATATCGTCAGAGGGCCTATCCTGAACTTTGCCAGCACCAGAACCATCTTCAAGTAAGCACCTTTGAGACTTCTCTCCTCTGAAAATTGAATTCCTTGGAAAAACAATTTTCTGGCCAGATGTGTACATATCTGTCATGCCCATGTTGGGAGCCTGAATCTGCGGGCGGAGGACTAGCCAGAGCTGGAGCCGACGGAGATCGAGGGGTAGCTTCATGGGCCTTGGAGGAATGTGGGGAGGAGCAGGCTGAGGCAGTCCAGGTCCCCTCAGGATTGGGATGGCTTGTTAGCAGGGAAGAACGAGGGCAGGATGACCGAGAGAGGGCAAGCAGTGGACATAAGGAGTGCCAGAGCTCAGGCAATGAGCAAGGGCCATCCCCCTCCTGATCCCTGAGCACGGAGAGTGGAGAGAAGGTGGGAACAACGCAGGTTGACCCGACTACTCCGGAGGAAAGTGTCCCGCCCCTCTTCACAAGGCACACCTGGGGGACTCAGATTTAAGGAGACGCTATGGGGAGGAGCATTTGTCGGGAACACATGCTGAATTGGTAGAGTTGGGTGTGCCATTACAGACATTGGGAGTTTGAAGGACTGCGTGGGAGCATTTGAGGGACATTTGGAGCATTAAAGGGGAGTTTGAACCCTACAACTAGATGGGTTTAATCTGGGGGTGGGTATATATTGAATTTTTAGAGTTCCCAGTTCTTGTTTCTCTTGTCCTGTTAGGAAAGGTTTTAAGCTGGTGATTCTGGATGAAGCTGACGCCATGACCCAGGATGCACAAAACGCTCTCCGGCGTGGTGAGTTGATGCCCCATCCTGGAGAGACCTAGACACGATTCCTGTTTCCTTTTTGATGGCAGGCGTCTTGATCCGCTGTCCCAACAGGATGGCTGATGGTCTGCCTTAAGGTTGCTTAAAAGAGCCACAGTGGTGCAGTGGTTAAGAGTGCAGTATTGCAGGCTACTTCTGCTGACTGCAACTTGGCAGTTCGAATCCCACCAGGCTCAAGGTTGACTCAGCTTTCTGTCCCTCCAAGGTGGGTAAAACGAGTACCCAGATTGTTGCGGGCAAGAGGCTGGCTCTGTAAACCGCTTAGAGAAGGCTGGAAAGCGCTATGAAGCGGTATATAAGTCTAAGTGCTACTGCTATTGCCGTGAATTTGCCAGCACAAACTTTTGACTTTATACGTCTTTTCCAGTGATTGAGAAATTCACCGAGAACACCCGATTTTGCTTGATCTGCAACTACCTCTCCAAAATAATCCCAGCTCTACAGTCCAGATGCACCAGGTTCCGGTTCGGCCCTTTGACGCCAGAACTCATGGTTCCTCGGTTGAAGCATGTCATTGAGAAGGAGAAGTGAGTAAAAAGCCTCAGAGGGGGTTGACAGAACGGAGTCAGAGATGCAATTTTCTGGCTTTGTAACCACGATTTTTCTACAAAATGTGGCATCCGCCCCCATCAGCTCCTGCTTGGGAACATCAGTGAGCCTGCTATGAAGAGGAGGACTAAGGCGGCTGTCAGCAACCCATGGCTCTAGAGCCGTATGTGGCTCTTTGGGCCCTCTGCTATGGCTCCCTGTGCCATCACTGGCGGGCCTGCCACTCATCCTCCCCTCCCAGCGGTGACATGAGAGCAGTCTTCCAATATTTGAGGGGATGCCACAGAGAGGTTAACCTCTTCCCCGAAGCACCTGAGGGCAAGACAAGACTTCATGGATGGAAGCTTATCAAAGAGAGATCATATGTTTTGGGAATGATGTTGGTAAAATGTTAACATTTCCAGAATTCTGGAGAAGAGTGCTGGACAGAAAATGAGATTTTCACAGTTGCGTAGGATCGCTGGGAAGGGATGGGTGTGCAGGAAACATCAGGGTTCTCGGCAGCCTATTTGATTCCTCTTTGCTCTTTCAGCGTTGATGTCAGCGATGACGGAATGAAAGCCTTGGTGACGCTGTCCAACGGCGATATGCGCAGGTCCCTGAACATCTTGCAGGTAACGCTCCCACCCAGGTGTGGCTTCCTCTTGTTGAGACACGTGAGGAAAAAAGAAAGGAGGAGGAAGAAGAGAAGGAGAAGTTGAGGAGGAGAAGGAGAAGAAGAAGAAATTGAGACACAGGAGAAAAAAGGAAAGGAAGAAAAGGAGAAGTTAAAAGAGGGACAGTGGGAGGAGAGGAGAAGAAGAAAAAAGAAAAAAAAGAAGAGTTACCTGAGACGGGAAGAAAAAGGAAAGAAGGAGGGAGAAGAGAAGGAGAAAATGGAGGAGGAGGAGGAGATTCACTTAACAAATGTGGCAAGAAAAGTCGTTAAACGCGGGCAAGGCTCGCTTAACAAATTTCTCAGCTCGCAATAGGCTCAGTTGTGGTCGTAAGTTGGTTCAAGGGCCAGTGGTTTAGTCCAGTTCTTTTCTTCCTCTTAAGCCAGCAACTGGCCTTCGCTGGATTAATGACCCTCCTTGAGCAAAGGAGCCCGTGATGCCTCACCTCTCTCTTCCTCCTTTGCAGAGCACATACATGGCTTTCGGAAAAGTGACCGAGGAGACCGTCTACACTTGCACAGGGCAGCCGCTCAAGTCTGATATCGCCAACATCCTGGACTGGATGCTGAATCTGGACTTCACTTCTGCCTACCGCAGTATCCTTCAAATGGGAATCCACGTGCAGGGGGCTTACTGGGATGGAATAGAATAGAATAGAATAGAATAGAATAGAAAATATAGAATGGGATGGGATGGGATGGAAATGGAATGGAATAGAAAAGATGGGATAAGATGGGATCGGGTGCCTTCCAGCCTTACCATTGTTCTATAACGGCTGGAAAGAATACTGGAAGCGCCTTCAATATTTTTCTTGATATCTTTCCCCCTTTTTTTTCTACTTTCCTTTTTTCTTAAAGACCATTATCTATCAGATAGATAGATAGATAGATAGATAGATAGATAGATAGATAGATAGAT